GAATGCAAGAATTAGGTCCCCCGTTTCCAGACTAATTAGAGACCTGGTCCCGATTCTATTTCTGAACGTCTCCTGTTCACGTCCAGTCAAACGAACTATTTTCAACGTTTTTGGAACGTTTACAATCGTTCTATAATCAAACCAATATTCAAATTTTATGTTTGAATTAAATTCAAACAAATTTGAACATAAAATTCGAAATAGAGAACTACTTTCAACCACTTTCAAGCCCATATCTCCCGCACCCTTATAGCTATCGAGATGCAACCACCCTGGTGCACGAATGGAGACTTGGGGCTACTACCACATACAAACACCATTCATGTGCGATGTGTAGTTTTGGCAGAAAGTGAAATATAGGGACGCACACGTCCATTTATATATATATAGATATGTCATGTAGAATTAGATTATTGTGTACAACAATTACTGTATATATACTTTCTATATTTAAATAATTTGTTTGATGTAAATAAACTATTCTGAATTAAAAAATTAGAATAAATTCCTTTCTGAGAAGCTTTAATATTCTTCTAATAACAGTTGTATTTTTTCTAAGAAAATTCAGCTTACATATACACAAACTCTCAACATGAAATAAAAAAAATTGACTTAATAGTACAGCATGTCCAAGAAAGATCTTTATCATTCTAAACATTAATAACAAAAAATAAAACAGGTGAAATGAAATGCAGTTTGCTGCAAAAGAATGAAGAAATCTAAGAGTTTTTTCTGGTATCAATTGCCTGAGGTAGATGGTGCTAGTTGCTTGCCAGTTGTGATAAGGACTCATACCTTGGCCTCTGCGATTGCCCGACATAACTCCACTGGATTTCTTTTTTTAGGGTTATGTTAAAGACAGGGTTTATCAAACAACTGTTTCTGATATATCTGTTTTAAAGGAAAGGATACAATTAGCAATCCCCACTGTTACACTGCAAAATGTTAAAAAACACTTGGAGGGAAATCAAGTACAGACTCGACATTATTCATGATACTAACGGAACTCATGTACAGTACAACTACATTAAAGGTACTGTAAAAAAAAAAAAAAAAAAACAGAGATTCAGTAGGGAGAAATTTTGAAAGCAACAACGAGAAAGTGAAAAAAATTCTAAAATATTGTCCACGAGTGTGTAAAAAAATAGTTTGTGAACATTGTGACCAAGGAGTTCCTCTTAGAGAAATGAATTACCGAGGAAAACTGAGAATTTTGCAAAAGAATTTGGCCATAGAGAATTTAAAGCCAATAACGGATGGCTCGAGAGCCTCAGAAGATTTAACATCGTCTTCAGGAAACTTTGCTACGAAAGTATGTCTATGCTTAAAATGTTTGGGAAAAGTGGATCAAGGAACTCCCATAGGATCAAATACAACAAATAAATTTAATTTCTAAAAACATATTTACTTAATTTCCCTCATCAACTCTTCTCTGGTTTTTCTTATTGTTTAACTATTTACGTGTCTAATTCGTTCGAGATTATTATATAAAGTAAAAATCGAATCAAAAATAAAGATAGAATATTTAATTCATCAATAAATTAAACAAGTTATATAATATTTATCGTTTTATGTACAGTACTTGTAGTTAAGTTTGGAAAGAATCGAATACATTAATCAGTAACATTGTTGTAAATTGAAAAATAAATAAGAACATACCACCCCTTTTCCCTCAGTTGATCTTGCAAATTCATTTGTACTCACTTTTCCCGAACACACGCGACATACTCTCTACAAAATTCAACACACTCGATTACAGAGCGCTTACGACTGCAGCGCCATATAGGAATTTAAAACAAAATTTATGTACGAAATTATATAACTTCTTCCCCTTCTTATTTTTCCAATCTCGTGTTATAGAATTACAATTCGAGATATAATACAGAGAGATGATCGTCGTATTTATCTATCTTCAAGAGACGCGTAGCTCTCGAAAACATATGGAGTCATTATTGAAACCGAAATGAAATCGCTTGCAAATTAAAAAAAAAAAAGTTATAATTATTAAAAGAAAAAAGTATAAATTGTATTCGTGGATTATTTCTATATTTCTTTCAANGAGAGTCATAACCTTTTCACCTAAGGTCGACCCCCTAAACGAGAGGCATCGGGTCTATATTAACCACACTGGCAAAACAAGATGGCTGACACATTGACAGGTAAAACGCACTGAGTATAGAACTGCTCAAAAAATTGGTCTTTTAAGGTCAGAACATGCACTAATAGATAGAAATAGATTTTTTTTATTTGTAATTCAGCAACTAACTTATAAAAAATTTTAGGAAACTAATTCATGTCTGACTGAGGAATAGTAACAAAATCAATTTACATTCTATCACATTAGTATAGAACTGCCATCTTCCTCCAAGTTTGAAGCATGAAAGTATTTTTTTTCATCATGCCTCGTGGTACCCATTTAACAGACTTTAAGAAAGGACAAATTGTAACTTTGAGAAGCACTGGTTTAAGTCATCAGGCAATAGCAAACAGAACCAATCATTTGAAAAAGGTAGTTCAGCATTATTTATCAAATCCTGCAAATTATGGACCAAAGTGCAGAAGTGGATGTCCTTCAAAGCTTACCCCAAAAAGACCATAGACAAATTATTAATGCAGTTTCTAATTCCACTACATCCACATGTAAAATTTGGGACAATTTGGGTATTCAAGTACATCATGAAGCCTTTCAAAGAGTTTTACACAACAACAATAGCGAGGTTGAGGCCGAAGTTTTACATGCGGGATCATGTACGTCGGACGTTCAGTGCCGCTTTCCTATAAGCCTAGAAATTTGACAATGATGTTTGGAATGTCAAGCATGATTCCACTGACTATCCAAACACCATTGTCAAACTTCTAGGCTTACAGGAAAGCAGTGCTGAATGTCCGACTTACACGTTTCCATGTTTAAAACTTTGGCCTCCTTGCTATTAACATTGTTCAGTCTCGAATGAGAAGTGTCCTGCTCTTAAGCCTGAGCACAAAGCTGCCCAACTTGATTTTGCTAGAAACATATGGCAACTCAATGGAATAGGGTAATAGTTTTGTTTCGTTTAGTCTTATCATGCTAGCACAAGAAATAACAACCTTTTTGTTGTTTAGGTAATCTTTTTGGACAAAAAAAATTTAATTTGGATAAGCCAGATGAATTAGCATTTTACTGGCATGATTTATGAAAAAAGCCCAAGTACTTCTTGTGAAGGAACTTTGGAAATGGGAGTGTTATGTTTAGGGTGCATTTTCTGCATTGGGAAAATTGGATTTGGAATTTGTTACCTGTCGCATGAACAGTGCTGACTATCAACAATTTCTGAAGAATAAATTGCTGCCATACAAATGTACATTCAGAAGAATTCCTGTTATTTTCCAACAGGACAATGCATCTATCCACGTATCATGAGATACAAAATGGTGGTTTGAAAATAAACAGATTGGCCAGTTCACATTCCTGATTGCAACTCTATAGAAAACATTTGGGGGATCTTCGTTGGTGAAATTTATGGTCAAAATCATCAGTATGCCAACATTGAATACTTAAAACAAGCAATTGTCACTGCTTAGAGGCATCGATCATAAAAAACCTCATTGATAGCATGCCAAATCACATTTCCGACGTTATTAGTAAAGGAGGTGAACAAATAAATTAATAAATTAAGCTATTTTGTAGTATTTAATGCTTTTTTCATTCATTTACTAGTCCATTCTATACTTTTGTGGAACACCTTGTGTATATATATTTTCCCAAATAAAAAACTCAAATCAAATGCCAAGATCATCAAATTTTTCAGTCACGAATAACTTACTGCACTAAAAGATATTCTTACTCTTTTTATATTTGTTTACAAATTTATTTTTAGATTTTGTTTAAATGAAAGTATATTATATTTTTTAACTGTCTTTTTGTCATCATCTCTCTAGGATGATCAAGAGTAAAGTCTAATTTTAAATTTTAACTGAAATTTAATTAATTAATGTTTTTAATGTATATATTCAGTTGATAGATAATAATGTAAAAGCACTATTCTAAATATAGGTTCAAATACAACAAATAAATTTAATTTCTAAAAACATATTTACTTAATTTCCCTCATCAACTCTTCTCTGGTTTTTCTTATTGTTTAACTATTTACGTGTCTAATTCGTTCGAGATTATTATATAAAGTAAAAATCGAATCAAAAATAAAGATAGAATATTTAATTCATCAATAAATTAAACAAGTTATATAATATTTATCGTTTTATGTACAGTACTTGTAGTTAAGTTTGGAAAGAATCGAATACATTAATCAGTAACATTGTTGTAAATTGAAAAATAAATAAGAACATACCACCCCTTTTCCCTCAGTTGATCTTGCAAATTCATTTGTACTCACTTTTCCCGAACACACGCGACATACTCTCTACAAAATTCAACACACTCGATTACAGATCGCTTACGACTGCAGCGCCATATAGGAATTTAAAACAAAATTTATGTACGAAATTATATAACTTCTTCCCCTTCTTATTTTTCCAATCTCGTGTTATAGAATTACAATTCGAGATATAATACAGAGAGATGATCGTCGTATTTATCTATCTTCAAGAGACGCGTAGCTCTCGAAAACATATGGAGTCATTATTGAAACCGAAATGAAATCGCTTGCAAATTAAAAAAAAAAAAGTTATAATTATTAAAAGAAAAAAGTATAAATTGTATTCGTGGATTATTTCTATATTTCTTTCAATTTTTATATAATTATTCCTATTTTGATTAGGATTTTAAATTATAAGCATAGTGTGATACAGACAAATATAAACATATTAAAATATGTATATAATTTCGTATAAAATTTATTTATAATTTTAATTTTTCTTATAAAAAAATATTTGTTATTCGATACTTTCTCTTTGCCGTCATCTCGATAAATAAAACAAACATAAAGCAAAAGTTATAAACAAAAAAAAAAAAACTTAAAGCGCTGCTGTTTTTAGGCATTTGGGAACGATGATGGAAGAAAGAAAAAGATGGAGGCACCCGCACTATTGAGAGTACCATGATAGAGGGATCTTTTCGATAATATCGATCCTTTTGTAATTTTGTAAATAGTTTAATTAATTTGTGGGTTCTGTGGAGATAGTCTTAAGAATAGTTCTAAGAATTTTTGAAGGTTATTAAATAAATTATTTCCGAAAGTAGCCCAAAGGACAATTAGTGTAGCATATCAAAATTAAAACTCTTTAAATTGATTATACGAGTTTTTCATTGTTATAATAAATAAACGTATATATAATATAATAAAAAATGTATTCATGAGCAAAATTATATGTGCATAACCATGGGCGTAGCCAGAGTTTTGTTATGGGGGGCCTAGTGGAGGCCAACCTGACACAAAATTGAATTATTTCAAATTATTGTTCATTATTGGGCACCGAGCAAGCCGTTCACCTTTTTTTTAGTATTCAAAACTTTTATTTTAGCTTTAGGTTTTTACAAATCGACTCAACACTTTTTCGGCTGTGATTTCCTGGGGAGGGCACCAGGTTCCCTGGGAGGGGCCGTGCCCACCCAGGCTCCCCCCTCGCTACGCCCATGTGCATAACACCGGGCTAAGGAACAACAATACTGTTTTATTTAATTCACAAAAAATATAGACAAAAAGAATTAGGTTAAATGGCGATAGAATGTTTACAAACCAACTTTAAATCACGTGATTTTTCTGCGAAAATTTGTGCCGCAGGAATTTAATTATAGGTTCAAGTGTGCCGTGAGCTAAAAAAGATTAAAAAACACTGGTTTAGCCCGTGAGCGAACATTAGTTCTAAATTATGCCGCTGCGGCAAACAGCGCCAATAGACGGAACTCATTGTGTGGTATTTTCTGGTCATAATTACAAATTATGAATGCTTTATTTGCAATTACTATTAGTTAAAAATGAAAATAATTTAAATTTTTAAATAGACATACATATTAATGTTATTAAACTTATGTCTTATTGTTGGAATTAAGCTTACAGTATCAAGAATTCACAAACTTTTTCCGAGTTATTCATTCATTCAACAAGAACCGTAGTACAGTAGTAACGAAAAAAACTTAAAACGGTTATGACAACAGCGTTTATTGTGGTGAAAGTTATTGTGGATCGTGTTACGAAGGACATTTGCCAGCTACTTTAAAGTGTTAGAAGATATTCGGTATTCTAGTATTTATAACGTCATTTATAATCTTAACAGTTTTGTGGTGGCTTAAGTGTAATTGGGGTGCAATCTGAAAAAATTGAAGACTTGTGAATTCCCTGCATTTTCAGCCTAAATTCTATATATTTTCCATGTTTAGTTGAAATAAATTTATCCCAAAACATCTATATCTCAAATTATGGACAGAAGTGTCAATTATAAATTCAAAACTCAGTGACTGCATTTTGATAGTATAAATTGAAGTTGATAAACATCTCGTGATTGATAGTTGCAAATTGCAATTAACGCTACTTTTTCTGATTGGCTACGAGTGATTGGCTTGCGCCTTATTGGTTGTTATTCCAGGTGATGTCTTATAACAGATTTGAATGAATTTTCTAGATCAACGGGTTTTTTTTAACATCATTTGTTAAGTCTATGATTGCGACATTAAGAGAAGCAAATGGTTAGTGTGAAAAGATAGTTGAATGGTCTTCTCAATTGAAGAAAAAATGAAAATCTTAAAATTTTTGGACAAAAATCCTCAGATGAGAAAAAGTGAAGTTACGACCAAGTTTAGTATTCCATCGAGTACTGTAAAGAAAAAAAAAAAAAAACAGAGATTCAGTAGGGAGAAACTTTGAAAGCAACAACGAGAAAGTGAAAAAAATTCTAAAATATTGTCCACGAGTGTGTAAAAAAATAGTTTGTGAACATTGTGACCAAGGAGTTCCTCTTAGAGAAATGAATTACCGAGGAAAACTGAGAATTTT